CCCTAGAAGAAGGCTGGGGTTCTGGGGCAATCGTGTATCCCAAGTACACTCCCGCAGCCCCCGAGGCTGCAGAGACAGACCCCTGATCCCCGTCGCTGAGCAGGGGGTGGGCTTAGGCACACCATGCTCTCCCATCCCCTTCCTAGAAGGGTATAAACAGGACTAAGGAAAGGAAAAGTGCTCAGAAGATGCTAAAACGTGATGCTGGGGCACGCAGGAAGGCGTGAGAAGGGATAAAGGTGTGGCCCTAAATTCCCAGGATGACTCTTGGGGAAGGGTCTTCTTCCTCCTCTCAGGAGAAAGGGAGTACAGTCAATAAAAGGAATGCGCAGCCCAAGGAGCACAGACTTTAGGATGTGAAATTGGCTTCCAACAATGGTGAAGCCTCCAAAATAGTGGGCACAGAAGCAAGGATAATGTCAAGGCTATGCCTACTCAGTGGAAGAGAAGGAGAGAGGGACCAGCCCAAACCACATTGGAAGGGGTCCCCTGGCTCTGACCTGACCAACTGTCTTCCCTATGGAGAAGGGTTTTAGACAGAAAGGGTTAAACCCACCACACAAAGAGAATTAAACTTTGGTCCATTTTTAGGAATCTATCCTCAAGGAACATTTGCATTTATATGCAGAGAAGACACCCATTGTTGTTTGTAACCAAGTCCAATACCCATCAGTAAGCTCTGATACATCGGTATGGTAAGGTACCACTCAGCTGTCCCAAGGAGGTACTTCCTTGTGGACTGGCATGGTAGAGCCCCCAAGGCATAGTGCCAAGCAGCAATAACCAATAATGCAAGTTGCTGTATAATGTGTAAATTATTTTGAAATGTATATTTATGTAAATGTATATTTAAAATCTATCTAGTAAGCAAAAGGAAAACATCATGAGGCTGTGTTGAAGCCTGCTGTGAATAAGGAGCTGTGAAGTCATTACTGAGCTGTGTGAAATGGATTTTGTCCACAGCCTAGTATTGTACATTCCCTAGCCTCCTCTGAAGCTAGATGCAGCCCTGAGACTAAGTATTGGCCGATGAGATAGAACATAAAGTATTTAGCCTAACTTCCAAAGAGAGGTGTTCTTTAAAAGAGAGATGTTTTCTTTTCTCTTTTCTTCCTTCCAGTTAGTTGAAATACAGTTGCGATGGCTGGATCTCAAGCAGCTATCTTAGACAATGAGGTAGAGATTATTAGTTAAATAGGATAGAGCAGTTAAGTTAGCTACAAAGACAGAGCCTGCTAAGGCCAGATCTGAGGGCTGGAGGACACCTCAGAGACCCCTGCTCTACTCACCTTCACATCCAGAAGAAACAGAAGCCCAGAGAGGCCACATGATATTCCAGGGACAGTAACTAAGCCAAGAGACGTTTTGTCAGAGATCCCCACCACCATCACCACCTACGTGGCTGTTCCTCCACTTTGCCACCTACGTGGCTGTTCTTCCAGAAACCTCCCTTCCCAGATCTTGGATGCTGCTCCATTCTGTGGCTTGGGGCCAGTCCCTGGGGCTGGGCAAAGGCCCCCAGAGTTGATTAAACAGCAGGCCCGAGACACACCTCTCAGCAATCTGTCTAATGAGAATACAGCAAAACCTCTGCCCACTGATGGATCCGTCTGTCGGCATCTCCTATTTCACTTCTTTTTCTCTTTCTCTCTCTGTCCTTCTGTCTGCCTGTCTGTCCCAGTCTATCAGTCTATCTTTCCATCCCTATTATTGTCTCTCTCTCCCACTCTCTCTCTCTGTCTGACTCAGCCTGCCTGTCTCCTATGTTACTGTCTCTCTTTCTCTGTGTCTCTGCCTCGTTCTCTGTCAATCTCTATGTATCTTTTTCCCTTTCTCTTCCTCTCTCTGTCTTTCCCTTTCTCCCACTGTTCTGTCTCTCCGTCTCCTTCTCTCTGAGCCTGGCTGTGAAGTTGGTTTCTCCTCCTAAAGGTTTTGGGCAGTGCCTTTTCTTGGGCTGTTATGTGCTGACTTTGTGCTGCCCCTGCCAGTTCCTGCCCCCCTCCCCCCATATCTGCTCTGTCCGTCTCCAATGCTGTAGGAGGACTGGCACTGGTCTCAGAACCCTCAGATTCTGCAGGGCCCCCAAGCAGGGGTTTGAGTCCTTGGAGCCAGTGGAGCAGCTGGGCAACTGAGCACGTTTCTGAAAGGCAAAGTCAGTGCTGCTAATGCTGCCAGAGAGGCTGGCACCTTCTCACTCCAGCTACCCCAGGAACTTTATCCCTTTCGAGCCAAGGCTGGCAGAGCAGGGCTGCCACGGTGATTCCAGAGATCATGGGTGCAGCCCAGCTGCTGCTTGGCTGAAGGCCAGAGTCAGAGGGCTTCAAGGTTGTCCCAAGACTCTAATGACAGTGCTCTGTGCTGGAGCCTGGAGCAGGAAGTCAGGAGGAGAAGGACATACAACATGTGGGGTTGGAAGCATGGGCACTGGATCAGAGTTACCACTCAAATAGGAGAGTTTCAAGGTAACC